TCTTTTTCAGCACCTCCCAACATAGGACAGCCTGCGTCAGCTCAATCTGCTGCTTGATGCTCACACTGCGTAACCTCAACGACAGCAGCCAAATCACACAGCCAACGTGTGAATAAGCCAGATCCTCTTGCAGCATTTGTTAAGCAAAAAGAGTCAGAGACAAACCAGTGGTCTGCATGTATTAATAGAAATCTGTTGATTCTTGATGTTGCTTTGTAACTTATATACTGATGTTTTTTAAACAGGCTTCGTGTTTCAATACGCCATGTAAAATTGATGACAAAGTAGTAATGATACTGAAAAACGGGATAAAGGCTTATTTAGCTGTCAGCAGGCTAATGGTGTTGAAGTTCTCAGAGGCTTTTCTTATTGGCAGCCTCACATGGAGCCTCAAAATGTCCCAGGGTCGACCAAAGTTACAGTTATCACATAAACCTGTCAACAAATCTCATGTCAGGACGATGAGTCAGGATGAAATTAACAGGAGTGGTTTTATACAGCCTTATTATTATTATTAAAGCTCCAAGGCATCAAAGACACAGTGGTCACAGTAAAACACTGATCTTGTTTTGGACTGACGGCAGCCATCTTTCTGACTTTACTGATCACATGATTAGAATTTTTAAGTCTCTTGTTGAGTAAAAACAAGAAGCGACTGAGCAAGCAAGCCGGGGAAATATGTCAGAAATAAAACGCAGGGTGTGTGGAAAACCCTTTATCACCACGAGGCTGAATTTGTGCATTACACCCACAAAATATGCATCAGCTTTCATCATACTTGAAAATGTACAGAGTGCGTGAGTGCACGAGCACAAACAGAGGATGCTGCGCGCCTAATGATGTTCTGTGTGGGGAGCTCGGAGTTCAGCTCTCACTCAGTTCTTTGTTTTAGGTTAGAGACACAGATAGGCACTTGCTGAGCTCTAAACGTATTGTATGGTGATGGTGTGTTCGCTGGCCTGGTCTTCAATATAAATGCTTTTCTCTCAGTTTTGTCTTAAGCCGTGTTTAAAATTCAGCAGATGCATGAATCAAATTGTTTTCCTCTTGCTAAAAAACGCAGTGGGCATGCATCACCGAACTGAGTCAGACTCATAGTGATCCACTTAATGAATGTGGTCCCCAAATCTGCTTTGCAGCGAGAAGCTGCGATAAAATAGAGGAATAAAAAAAATTACTGCCTTTCACTCAGACCGCCTGGCAACCTGCCGCATGAAGAGGCTTCACGAGAAAGTCAAGAAGAAGAGGAGATTCAGAGGGGGGATAATAAGGCGTAATTTCCTTCTTCCACGATACCATCAGTTCAGTGGCATTATGGTATTTTGGCAGGTTCTTCTACAAAATATCTATACATGCAGTGTGAGGGGGAGTATCTCAGGGGAACATGCAAAATAACACTTCACTCCTAATCTTGGATTTAGAGGGCAGACGATGGATCTGTACTGACTGTGTGACAGCGCTTGTGATCTCTTTTAATTAGCTCCATGTATCCGACTGCTATGAGGAAGACAAGAATGTGAAATATATATTTAGTTCAAAGGCATGTGGAAGGCAGATAAACACAAAAAAAAGGTAGATGCTGTGCTTCACACAAAAGAGGGACACAAATTGATCTGAGTGTCTGAGTGGACATGGAGGATATATTGCATTAGCTTTGTCGCTCCGCTTAGAAAAAACATTCCTGTACATGATACACAAACACAAATAACAAAAATAGACTTTAAATCAAAACTTCTATGGGAAGAAGATGTGCGTGCATCAGAAATATTTGCCATCTAACATGACACACTATGTGGGGCTCTCACAGATGAAGGATGACCACTGTGCATTAACTGTGTAGATGCTTTGGCTGAATTCCCTCTCCTAGTGTCAGCCCACCTTCACTTCAAGTCACCAAGAGTAGTAGTTAATATTCCACTGGACAAAGGGACACTCCTTCAAGGAGCTGATATTGTGCATGAGCATAGATTTGCAAATATTTGAAGTCTTATTAAAATGGACAAATCTAATATTTTGTTCCAGCTCAAGGTGGCTGCATGTTGGAGCAGCTCTGTTACTTTCATTCTGAGATGTTACTTTTGAAAACTTTAAAAAAAAAATTTTTCTGGATGTAAATCACTTCTTTTTTTTGGGGGGGGATGATTATTTCCTCTGATAGATGCTGTGCAGCTGGAAGGATTTTTACTGAAACCTTTTTGCTTTTGGACATTTGTTATGATGCGTAACCATGACAACAATGTGGGTTTTTTTACAATCAGGAGCAGAGCTCTGATTAACATCTCAAAAGCTCAAACAATCCCGCAGCTACAGCTCCATATCACAAACGAGTTGAAAAGGAGGTGCCATGGATGCATCTCCGTCTAATTCATTCAACTTTTATTTAGACAGGTAAATCCCATTGAGCCTCGAGGACTCATTTACAAGAGAGACCTGATTTCAACAAAGAATCATGACAACAATGGACAACAGCGACAACAAATCAAAATAATAATAATAATTATAAATAAAAATTAAACCTAAATTAAACATCTACAACATAATAATAATTGGTGGAGGTGCTTGAGTACCTGACCACTGAGATCCTGGAGCAGGTGGGAAACGCAGCTCATGACAAGAAGAAGACCAGGATCATCCCCTGACACCTGCAGCTGGCTCTCTGTAATAACGAGAAGCTCAACAAGCTGCTGGGAGGAGTGGCCATTGCTCAGGGAGGAGTTCTGACCAAGATTCAGGTGGTCCTGCTGCCCAAGAAGACAGAGAAACCCACCAAGTCCAAGTAGATAGATCAACATCTGCAACCAGTTTCTTCAGATCTGCTACAAGAGATCCTTCCTGCCCACAGTCATCAGCATCTATAACAACTCTAATGAAACCAGGATGATGAGCTACAACAACACTTAATGTCCCTCTGGGATTAATAAAGTATTTTTGAATTGAATTAGAAAAATTAATGCAATCGCCACAACCATCTTTTTCTTTATTCTACCATCACCTAGTAATGGCACGCCACATTGTTAGAGATGCACCGATCCGATATTCGTATCGGTATCTTAAAAATATTGATCGGTTATAATAAATAAAGTGCTATGTGTTGTCATCAATGTATGCTCCCAAACAATGGCGAAATTTGTTCTCTGCATTTAACCCATCGCACCTGGGATACACCCCGGTGGAGCAGTGGGCAGCTATGTAAGCGCCCGGGGAGCAATCAGGGATTAGGTGTCTTGCTCAGAGACACCACCACATGTGGGAATGGCTGGGGATCGAGCCTGAGACTTTCAGGTCCAGAGTCGGCTGCTCTGCCTCCACTCCATCTCGGCCCCAATCGGTATCTCTGACAATGTGACCGATGCACGAGGACAGGAGCCGATTGGTTTAAACTTCTGCCAACCAAGCTAGTGAAGCTATTGTCGTTTCCTCTTATTTCAACTCCTTTATTATTTATTTTACATTATATTTAGAATTCCTGAACCATTTGAAAGGTTTGTTGATGGTTATTTTTTAATGTTTGACAAAAGTTGTCAACCTATTGTATTTTCAGCGTCAACTCCTTTATTATTATTTATTTTACATTGGATGATATACTCATAATTGCACTGACTGAACAAATTAAAGTCATTTTAACATGTTTGAACAAGCTTGTGAAGCTATTGGTGTGTTGAAGTGTGCTGTACTAGTGCAGAGTTTTCAATACATTTCTAAATCAGTACATTTGTAATTCTGCGTTTAAAAAAACTAATGTTTTAATTTAATTCAGCACTGTTTTTCTGTATCGGATCGGATACTAAGCCTCCGATGTCATATCGTAAGTGAAAAAAGTGGATCGCTGCATCTATTTCTAATGATGATTTTACAGTTGTGGTGCTTTTTTGGACACAACACCTCTCATCCCTCCCAAGACACAAACAACAATGACAAAGCAGCTTGGAGTATTCCAGCATCTGTTTCTACTATCGTAGTTTGCTTTGAAAAGACTACGAAACCCTCTGGTCATGGGTGAGCTCAGCTGTTTTGTCTGAATATGGGCATCCCCTCCACATTGATCCATCTGGACCAGGGGAAATGACAGAATATAAAAATCCCCAGCTTGCAGAACTAGCAGCAGCACACATCTTTGTGCACGAAGCCTCTGCTTCATTAGGTTTTTCAGCTGCAGGAAAACAAAGAAGGTCAAGAAAACTTAAATCACTGCAAATCCCAACTGTGTGGACACAAGGAAACAAGAAACTGTCCTGAATTGTAAAGCAGCAGGTAAGATCATCGTTAGTTAAGGTTTTCTATGCTGCTCAACAGTTGGTTGTTGTGCAGATACTCATTCAGCAATTAGCCCTGCATGAATCTCACTGCAGGTAAAGCCTGCTTCTACAAAATGAAAAGGTTTCTGCACAAAGAGACACACAAATCAACAAGTTACTGATACAACTTATGTTGTGTCAGCACAAGCACTGTTATGTATATAAGTTCACGCAGTACACATAGGATGTTAGCACCATGCTGCAGAAAAGTTACAAAAATATCAGCGTGTGGGCATTTTGTGACAAATCATCCTCAACAGCAAGCAGAACGTTTAAACCCAAACAGTGATGAGAAATGTACAAACGTTTACTGTGGTTCAATTAAGTTAGGGTCTAAGCAACTTAGGACTGGATAAATAAACCCAGCTTACAACCCACACTTTAAAGTGTGGGTTGTAGCAGTACGTTACTGCGTAATCATTAACTTTTTGTGATAGCTTCTAGCAAAGAAGAAGGGAGTAAAGGTTCTGCATTTACAGCCCTTCAATATTCACTAACACCGTCCAAACCTGCAGAGGCAACAGACCGGTTAAACAATTCATATTTCTGACGTCTCTGAAGCAGAAACGAACAGTTTTCTGTTTACAATCAAAGCATGAAGGTGGTGTGCCAACAGTGAAAGACTTTGATTTCTTTTTTTATGTAACATCTTAAAATGTGTGTGGGGTCAAAGGTGTGGACCTTGTAGAAGGCTGTTAAACTCACTTGATAAAGCATCGCGCTCCCTCAAAGGTAAATCCCTCTTCCCATCCAGTGGGTAGGTCTGAGGACAAACAAGCAGCATGTGAGCACAAATAGTTGGGAATGATTGGGTTTTTATATTTATTTATCAAAGAATAACCCTTTGAAAGTCATTCAGCTTAATGACCATTGGTTTTCTGGAGGGGGGGGGGAATCAACCCCCCAACAGAACTGCTTCAAACACTCTTTTTAAATACTTTCTGCTACAATGAACTAGTCGATCTATTAGTTATCTCCGCCTGAAATACAGTAGAAACATCAAATTTAAATTACTTTTTAATTTTTTTTTACATTTTAAGGGTCTTTAGTGTGGAAAACCCATTCCACATTTCAGGTCAGTTTTTAAAACTACAAAATATTTATTTCATGGCAGTTAAAAAAAAAAAAAACATAAAAAAATGCATTTTCCTCCATTAGTCAAAGTCCACGTTTCTTTGTCATTTGCACCATGTGGTGCATGTGGTGGAACGAAATTATGTACACAGGGTCCCAGTTACATCCAACTTAAGTATAAATTGTACAGAAAAACTGTAATAAGATCTAAGATATGAACTAAGAAAAACGCAAAACTAAGAATACACTAAGTACTAGTAGTACAAAAACAATACACCGAACAGCAGCACCAACATGAGTCTGTGTGAGCAGATAAGTACGAATGAACACAGCAACATGAAACAGATCAGCAGCAACATGAAACAGATCAGCAGCAACATGAAACAGATCAGCAGCAACATGAAACAGATCAGCAGCAACATGATGTGATTTTTCACAGTGATTATTCTAATTAAAGATTCATGAGTCTAACAGCCTCAGGGTAGAAGCTGTTCCTCAGTCTAGTGGTTCTATACTGAATGCTCCTCAACCTCCTTCCTGAGGGGAGTGGGGCAAAAAGTGTGTGTGCTGGGTGAGTGGGGTCCTTCATGATGCAGGTGGCCCTCTTCCTGTATCTGGAGGTGTAGATGTCTGTGATGGTGGGGAGACTGACTCCAACAGTCTTCTGTGCAGCCTTCACCACTCTCTGCAAAGCTTTTCTTTCTGCAGCTGTGCAGCCTCCATGCCACACGTTGATGCTGGAGCACAGGATGCTCTCCACTGCACACCTGTAGAAGGAGGTGAGGACTGAACCTCCCAGTCCAGCTCGTCTCAGCCGCCTGAGGAAGTAGAGTCTCTGATGAGCTTTCTTGATCAGGCTGGTGGTGTTGTTGCTCCAGCTGAGGTTGTCAATCAGATGCTCCCCCAAGTACTTGTAGCTGGAGACCACTTCCACCACAGTATCATCTGCAAACTTTACAATGTGACAGCCTGGAAGAGTAGCTGCACAATCTACATGAGCAGTGAACAGGAGAGGGCTCAACACACCTCCCTGAGGGGAGCCAGAGCTGAGGGTTATGGTGGAGGAGGAGAAGTTATGGATCCTCACTAACTGTGGTCTGTTTGTTAAAAAGTCTAGGACCCAGTTACAAATGGAGGGGCTTAGTCCTCGTGTGAATAGTTTGTCCATCAGGGTTTGGGGGATCATGGTGTTGAAGGAAGATGTGAAGTCCACAAAGAGCATACGGACGTAGGAGTCTTGCTCCAGGTGGGTGAGAGCAGTGTGGACCACAGAGGAGACGGTGTTTTCTGTTGATTGGTCCTCATAGTATGCATACTGGTGAGGGTCCTCATTGATGTTGATGGTTGTTTTGATGTGAGTCATGACCAGTTTTTCAAAGCATTTAGTGACTATCGGGGTGAGAGTCATTCAGACCAGTTACTGTAGAGCTCTTTGGGACTGGGATGATGGTGGCAGTCTTCAGTCAGGTGGGAACTGTTGCCAGGGTGGGGGAGGAAAGATGTCGGCCAGTACTTTGCAGAGCTGAACGACACATTCTTTCAGCAACTTCCCGGGGATGCTGTTTGGGCCAGTTGCTTTGTGAGGATTAGTACGACCAAAAAGGACTTTTGGGCTTTTTTTTTTATTTTTTTATTCCAGTTCAAGATATTTTGGGCTGTGTGACACATGTGAGGTGATCTGACAAGGACGGTTTTTTAAAATAATTTTTATTATCCATCCATTCATCCATCATCTTTACCCACTTCTTCCTTTTTCAGGTCACGGGGGTCACTGGTGCCCATATCCATCTGTCACTGTGCGAGAGCCGGGGACACTCTGGACAGGTCTCCAGTCCATCACAGGGACACATCGAGACAAACAACCATTCACTCTCTCACTCACACCTAGAGACAATTTAGTTACCAATCAGCATGTTTTTGCATGCTCATGCATGTTTTTGGTCTGTGGGAGGAAACTGGAGTACCTGGAGAAAACTCACACATGCACGGAGAGAACATGCAAACTCCACCCAGAAAGGCTCTCGGACCAGGATCTGAACCGGGGCAACCTGCTCGCTGAGAGGCAGCAGCTCTATATTTTTTTAGGGATTTTTTTTTTTTTCTTCTAAAACTCTACTCCTGCACAACACCAGTTTCTGTTTTGTTTTTTGTTTTTACTAAACTGGAAAGACTACCTGCTGCTGCAGCACGCTTCATGCACTCCTGACGTCCTGATTTCAGTCAAGTCAACAGGGAGTCAGCCGTGATTCTGCAGCCTACATGCATGTGGAACTGCTTCTATGTACTAAATGTTTGCTTGGGCACCTTGCAAGTGTGTTTTTGCTCTTTCCATCGAACTAAAACAATTTTTGGAGACGAGAACAGAACTCAACGGCAACGTCCAGCCAAGACGTACCTCTTTCAGCTTGTCCCAGTAATATTTTTAAAGACTCTCAAATGTAAAAGCTTAAGCGACATTGAGTGAGCTAATATAAAAATAAAAAGTAAAGACAGATGTAAAATTTAAAACCCGTATCAGAAAGAAATACATTATTTTAAGTTATGGTAATTATGGGATCAAAAAGTGCATTTATAATGGATTTTCTATAGAGTTGATTTTTCCCCCAAGGAACACTAGAGAGTAGTGTCACTGTGACGTACTATTTTTTTTAATCTGACAAATAAATATATATAGAAAAATGATTAGGCTTTGTCAGAAACCATCATGTACGATGAATAAAAACAGACAAAAATAAATGCATGGCTGAATTTTTTCCACGAGACCTTCAAGGTAGGGGTGCACCGATAAATCGGCCCTGATTTCCTTAATTTAGGGAAATCAGCCGATGCATGAGAAACGATTTTTTGTTTTGTTTTAACAATTGTCTGAACTTCATTTATATTTCAGAGCACTACCTCATGGCCAGTTAAAACATGTTAGTATTGTTTCTTGGATGTTGTTTAAGGGCATGTTTTTCAATAAAATAATATTGGAAATTTGAAGGTGCACCTTGTAACTCCTGACAGTGTCGCTTATAAAACTAAATCGTTATCGGCACGTCAGACTTTTTAGAAATCGGTGATCGGCCAGAAAACTGCAATCGGTGCACCCCTATTAAATCTCTGCTGACAGTTCACCACAGGAAAATACACAGGTATGTACTTTACACAAAAAATTAAAATTTAACTACGTAAGCTACTAAGAAATGACTAAGTTTCAATATTCAAAGATAGAAAGTTATATATATATATATATATATATATATATATATATATATATATATATTCAAGTCTGCTGCTTCCATCATAGCAGTTTTTGAACATTTGCAGCTTTTAAGTCACAGAAAATAAAAGGACCATACTTTACTGCCCTGCAAGTTCTAAAATTAAACTATTTCAAGATGTGGGTCGCTGCATATTATTCTTTTCAACATCAAGTTATCTGTCTGTTTTAAGAGTCTACGACAAATGAGAAAAATATAACATGCATTTTAAGATGAAATTCTTGTTTTGTCTCACCAGCTGTGGACAAATAAAACATAACGTCACTAAAAAGCTGCAGTCGAAGGACATTCAGCTGGCTTTCTTGGGGAAAAAAAGTAAAATTATATTAATTACTTATTATAGAATCCTACTAAGTTTCAGTCCTACTTAGTGAGCTCTGGGAAACTAATCTAGTTTTTTTATATTTCAGGCTAAATTTAAACTAGGCACACCACAGGAAGCGCAGGGTCGAGCAATTAGTTTGCCACACCATGATACTTCTTCCTGTGTTGCTTGTTACATAAGAAATATTCAAGTGTTTGTTCTTACGATGACTGATCTAGGAGATAAATCTGCCTCGTACAACACTAGACTCTGACAACAGAGGGCAACACAGCTAATTTGTTTGAAAACTTAAATGAGCAAAACTGTGCTTTGAATGACAAGTTCACAGCAACAGCTGCAATTATTGTGAAATGCTGGCTGAGCTGACAGAGATGAAAGATAACAATGATGTCACAGAGTCAGCTGGTCTACCAAACAACACAATTTCTCTCTTCAAAAATATTTCCCGACCTTGCAGGTTGCGCGCTCGCAGCAAACCTTGCGCGTTTTCCAATTCCCATTCACAAAATCCCAATTTGTTTGAATTCAGAAACCATTTTAACTGGGATGAAGCCGAAAAAGAGTTGTGCTGCCACGTGAGACTTATATTGATTTTTAAAAGAAGTCATACTAAAAAGATGACCTCTGGATATCATAAACTGACACTATAAGAATAAAAAAAAAAAGATATTGGGTACTCCAGTTTCCTCCCATAGACCAAAAACATGCATGTTCGACTGATTGGTAACTCTAATTGTCTCTAAGTGTGAGTGAGAGAGTGAATGGTTGTTTGTCTCATTTGTCTCTATGTGTCCCAGTGATGGACTGGAGACCTGTCCAGGTGTCCCCGGCTCTCCCACAGTGATGGCTGGTATGGACACCAATGACCCCAGTGACCCGAAAAGGAAGAAGTGTGTATAATGGATGGATGATTGAAATTGTGTTTTTTTAAGAGCCAGCCCTGCAGAAGTTATTAAGCCAGCTTTCATTAAAGATCTGTTTAACTTTAACGCATATTTTGTAGAAAATGCCAAATAAAGATATGCACACAAAGAGGCCTTTAAGAGTTCAACCATTCCTGCTTTGATATTGTCTTGTCACTCGCTTTAAACCTGCAAAATGCCCCAAATCATTCTAAAGCACTTCATGATTTCCTTCCAGACTCCTTGAAGTTACTCGTCATTAAATGTTTTTTCCTGCCACACGAACCGTTTTCCAGTGTCTCCTTCAGTAAAACGCACTTGTTCAAAACGCCTTCAGTGCAGACAGTAAACGCAGCTGCAGCTTCAGGTGGTGCAGGTCCTCGGTGACATTGATGATGCTTGCAGGCTGAAGTTTACAGGCGACTGCAGCTGAATATATTACGTCCCTGCACGGAAACAAACTGAACTGAAGCTGAATTGCATGGCGACATTCGCAGCATAATGCGCTGCGGGGGCTAATTTCAGCACGAACCCCGCTGCTTGTTGACAGGAATGCGGCACTCTGGACATTTTGCAGCTAACCTTAGCACAGCCAGCAGCACAGGCGGTGTTTACTACACCAGGGCTGCGCGGCTAGCTCGTTTTAATCAACCGCTGAGCGAATATCGTGCACAAAACGCGACAGAGCCGACCACCACACGGCGAGGAAGTTTATTCACGCCAACACCAAAGCGACTGCTCGACGTCTGTTGTCCGTGAACGCCGTCGAGCTTGTCCAAATTCTCCAGTTACGTTAGCTAGCGTCAACTTCACCGTTTGACCCGCTCCAAGCAGGAGGAGGAGGCTCGCGGGGAAGTGGCACGAGCCCGGGCGGGCAGAGCGGGAGGTGGGCACGAGAGGGGTCACTTTTCACAGCACGAGCGCAGCCAAAATAGACGGCGGGAATGTCAGAGCTCCCGTCGTCGTTCGGCGCGGGGGGAGTCGGGTTTTACAGCAGCAGGGACGACGACACATGACGGCGGCGGACGTGACTGAGACAGGCTGAAGACAGCAACTTGGCAGCTGAGGGACATTTTACCTGGAGTTTGTCTGTGTCCGGTTAGAACTGCCTCCCCGCGCACTGGATGCAGCCAGGTTGTGCTCTTGGCTTCTTCGCTGTTGAGACACAGAGGAGGGGATATTTTAGAAGCGTACACAAAGCTGACTTTGTTCCGAGCTCAGACGACTACACGGACTGAAAGTGCGTCGTTCAGACGGAATATTTACTTGAGGAAGAAGACCCGTCCGTCCCGAGTAACCCCATAACTCCAGGAAGACGGGAGAGCAGAAATCCACTCGGGTTGTAGCTCCGCCGCCATGTCTGGCACTAATGTATGACAGTGGCGCGGCTCCGCTCGCGCAGGCAGCGCGTACACGGAAACCTTGGCAACGGCAGCTGGTGAGAGGAGGCTGGAGCAGCCCCTGGTGTTGACTCACAGGTGAGCTGCTGCCCTTCACACTCACAGGTTTTCATGTGGTTGTTGTCAAATAAACACTACACGTGCTGTGCTATCTTAGCAAAACGTTCAGCTCATTCAAGAGGTGCTATGACTTCTGCTTTTTTTGTCATGTTTATAATTCTGAAACTATTAACCTTCATTTTTATTATTTTCCCCAGAGAAATGCCTTGAAAACTCCTCAGTTGCTGAAGGAATATTTGTGTCTACTTATTATGCTACTTCAAGCCTGTAACTAGCCTTCTGCTACTTTTGTTTGCCCTTTTTCCCGCAGACAGTATATACTACTCACATCTGTGCCTCCCTCCCTGACACCCTGGACCCCCTACAGATCGCATACAGAGCAAACAGGTCTACAGATGATGCTATTGCTTTAGCAGTTCACACCTCCCTCAGCCATCTGGAGAAGGACACCTGTGTGATGCTCTTCAGTGACTACAGCTCACCATTCAACACCATAATCCCCTCCAAGCTGGTTTCCAAGTTCACCACATTGGGCCTGGAGAAGTCCATCTGCTGCTGGATACTGGACTTCCTCACCAACAGACAACAGGCAGTGAGAGTCGGCAGTCAACTCTCCTCCACACTAGTCCTCAGCACCGGTACACCTCAGGGCTGTGTCCTCAGTCCACTCCTGTACTCACTATTTACACATGACTGTACCGCCAAGCACAGCTCTGTATGCTGATGACACCACCATCTTGGGCCTCCTCACCAACAATGACAAGAGTGCCTACAGAAACGAGGTGAAGTCATTGCCCAGCTGGTATCAGGAAAATAACCTCTCTCTAAATGTCAGCAAAACAAAGGAGATGATAGTGGACTTCAGGAAACAGCGTGGAGGCCAGCACTCCACCATCAACATAAACAACGCTGAGGTGGAGCAGGTCAGCAGCTTCAAGTCCATCGGCGTTCACATTACTGAGGATCTGTCCTGGACTTTACAGACAAACACTGTGGTCAAGAAAGCCCAACAAAGACTCTACTTCCTAAGAAGACTAAAGAAGTTTGGTACAAACATCAGCATCCTCACTAACTTTTATAGGTGCACCATTACGAGCCTGCTGACAGGCTGCATCACAGGGTGGTATGAGAACTGCACCAGTCAGAGCCGGAAAGCTCTACAGAGGGTGGTGCAAACAGCAGAGGACATCACTGGTAGCAGTCTCCACACCATCCAGGACATCTGTTGTCTGCATAAAGCACGCAGCATCATTAAGGACCACACCCACCCAGCACGAGGACTCTTCTGTCTAATACCTTCAGGCAGATGATACAAGAGTCTGCCATCACTACAAAAACACCAAAGGACAGTTATTATTCACAAGCTGTCAGATTACTCAACTCTCGATTCATAACTCTGAGCAACTGGCAATAACATTGCACCAAGCCACATCTGTGACAACTAATATGACTAATATTAGTTTGTGACTGCTAATATGTTTATTGTTTATTGCTGCTGCTCTATGTGGCTGTATCTAGGCTGATACTAGGCTGCATCATGTATGATACAATATCTATGTACTTTGTATCTACCTTACCATCATAATTCAACCTCAATGTCTCTACCTGTTCAATAACCTGTCACACAACCTGTGTAGTATATGTTAATTATGTTCAATATGTATCGTGCATTTTAGCTTATATTACTACCTTGAAATACTTATTCATTCAAATTCATCCTACTGCACCGTTATATTCCACCATGTTGTTGTTTACGTCACACACAAAGCAACTGCTTGTTTTGTTGTTTTTCTTAGGTAATCGGACAATGATCCAGAAGATGGAACAAGCTGAACTTTATGTGCCCCTTTTGATTATTTATTTGCGATGTTTCAAATGAATAACAAAATACTTCCCTTACTGTCTAATAGAGCTAAAACAAAAATGAAACTTCCTCAAACAGCCTAACTCTCAAATGCAGCTCGCATTGCCGCACGGCAGCTTACCATCCCTTCTCAAACAACCTAAAACCATTTAGCCGAAGTGGGAGCCTAAATGAAAGCGAGAAGCTGTGTTTATCCTTCTGAAGGAGGTATAAAGTATGTTTTAACGGCATCCAGTTCAGAAAACGAAAGAAAACGAAGAGCAAAAATGATGAACTGAGTTCTCTGGGATGCATCACATGTTTTACTTTGGTAAACCTCTGGTCATAATGTGATACAGCACAGCTGACTTCACAGAAATGGCTTCCTGTTGCACACAAACACATACAAAACTGATTTTTTAGTTTTAGGGAAAACATAAAATAAACACAACTACCTCAATAACTTAATACAAGCAGCCACTTGAAACGATAAATGATGTCACAAATGAGATCCAGGTTCTGCATACGCATGAAGTAACCTTTAACAAACAGCGTTGTACGTGGAGTTCAGATTGTGCAATTTTTTCTTACGTAATAACTTCATGCTAAGTAAAGAGGTGGATTCTCCAGTCAGCGACAAAGACCAGACTTGAGACATGAGACACAATGTAATGAATGGTTACACATTATCAAGCAGCTGTTGGAGAGCTTTGTTCTGGTGCCAGCTCAGGAGTAACCTTATTTCTGTCTGTGCAAAGTGAGAGGAGGGGTCTCCTCTTCAGACTGGAGTCTCCAAGCATCTGTGCAGATCTCTCCCTCGCTGAGATCACAAGTTTTCGCCGCCCTTCAGGCTGAGCAGAGCGCTGTGATGATGAATGGGAGAGATAATTACTTTTTCTAGGATTAAATTGATGTAGCTTTGCTCAGTATGGTTTCAGCTGAGTTTCATTCAACCAGATTCAGTGTAAAGTCAACCCACGTGAGACTCAAACAATCACTGGAGTGCACCTTTAAAGCAACACTGCAAATATTTTAAGTGGGGTTCTGTGAAAAAGTTCTGAATAATTAATATCTTACTTGTTGAAGGTAGAATCAGTTTAATTATAGCCCACCACCAAAGGCAAAAGTGTGATAATGTTTTAGTCCATGTCTGTGTGTGTTCGTTTGCCTACATGTTAGTAAAATATATCACAAACAAGAGGACGAATTTTAATAAAATTCTCAGAAAGTTATGGCAGGATGTAGCTTTATGGCTCATTTACTTTGAGAGTCACTCCATTTCAAGATGGCCACTACTAGTCATCATTAGCCAACACAGGATTTGATATACAGTAGTCCCTCGCTACTTCGCGGTTGTTTTTCGCGGGCTCGCTCTACCACGGTTTTTCAAAACAAGATTGGACATGACACACAATTGGCTGATTGATGGATGAGCCGCACGATTGGCATGACATTTTTATTTAAAATAAATTATTTAGCGCCTCCTGCGCCTGTGTGCAGCCCTTACTGCTGGATAAACTTCCTCCTGCAGCTGAACAGCTGATCAGCTGTTCTCCGTGTAGAGTGGAGAAGTGGGCGTGGCCAAGAACGCCTGCAGCTGTCTGAGAGCAGCAGAGGCAGAGAGAAAAATCATGACATTCTGTGCTCTTTTAGAGTATTTACGTAGAGTTTAGAAACATTGTTCAGAATATTGCAAGAGTGGGGGAAGGGTTTAAAATGCCTTAATACTTATATATATATATTAAAAAAATACTAAAATAAATGACTACTTACTGCTTGTTTCCTACTCCGTGGTTTTTCATCTATCACGGAGCTTCAGCGTACGGATCCCCCGCGATAAACGAGGGACTACTGTAACGTTATATTTACAAATATCAAGCTAAAGTACGATGTGATAGTAGTTGAGAGTAATCCTCAGTGCATATTCTGATAGCTAACACATCTTGCAGCAGCAGATCATGCATAACATTATTTGAAGGTTTGACCAAAACGGCTTCAACTCTGTCGCTAAGATCAGATGATTTTAGATTAAAACTTTGGAATGAAAGGCGGCGGGCAATATGCATTCCTTCAAGGACTGCTTGGCCTTTAATTCTGACTGGATTGATGAACTAATAGCTAGTGCAAAGACCAAAATGGATCACTGTCATCTTAACTAATTATAGTCATTTTATTGTTGTTTAAGCATCTGATGTTTTGTAAACCTTTACACTACCTTCAGTTTTGCATGACATGGATACTCGCATGGATTATGAGACTAATGTATATATAAAGGTTGAATGAATTATGATTATTTTCTGGTGCAAATAGCAGCAGGAGCAGCCAATACTACTGGTAACACCTGGGCCACTTCAAGTTTAAATTTCTACTTTGGTCTCAGTCCCCTTCATACTAGCTGTCAGTTTGGTTAGAAATAAATTCTCATTCTCCAACTGAAGGTTGTTCAAAGTGCTATCCTCAACAGGTAAGATATTAATTATTAATAATCGTTCCACAGTCCTCCCCTTCAAAAGAGCTGAAGTATTCATTTATGTTCTTTTCTGCATTGCCCAGGGATGTGATTATGACATCATGTGTGCTTCTCCTTTTTCAGCGCACAGTATCATTTGACCGGCATGCACAAACCACAAACTAGGACAGCCATTAGGGCCAGTCAAGTCAGCAAACAGGGTTAATGGGCAAATCTGGAAAAGTCATACGACGCCTAATTCATTCAAATGATTGGAATAGGTCTGTAGGATTTTAAACGTTGTGGGGGGAAAAAATCACTACAGGGAGTTGTAGTTCTTCCAGTCAACCCTTGAATCATTAAGCATGCTTCTCTGAATCCCTGTTAGTCACAGCTGACAATAATCCAACCCCTGAACAGCCCACTGCTTCCCACAGAGATGACCTCACTGACTGGACCCACCGCATACATTGAAATGCAGTTTAAATGTTTTCCTTTTCAAGTATACAATTTTTTTCTCATGTGTTATTAAACCGAATAAATAACGTTACATTTGTAAGGAATGAGTAGAGCTCCTTCTGCGTATCTAAACGACGAGACACTCGGACCTTCA